AAATTAAATTAATTTAAAAAATTATTACATCCCTGTGCACATCAAAAAAAATTTTTCAACAGAGTAAAAGGAAAATGTATTGACTGGAAAAAAAAATTTGACAATACCATTTCAGACAATGGTCTCTTATCAAAAGTTTACAGAATCCTACAAAACCTCCACAAGGAAAAGACTGATAACACAGTTACAAAATGGGCAAAAGACATGGAAAGAACTTTCACATGGGAAGACATTTGGATGGCTAACAGACACATTAAGAAATGCTAAAAATCAGTGTCAGTAAGACAGATGAAAATCAAAACCACAATGAGATACCATCTCACCCAAGTAGCAGTGGCAAAGTTTAGTAGGGCAGCAAGCAATACATTTTGGAGAGGATGTAGAGAGGAGGGAACTCTCATTCACTGTTGGTGTGATTGCAAAATGGTACAATCAATCTGGAAGAAAGACAGGGTAATGATTGGTTGGCACAATGGTGATTAATTTTATAAAACATAATGCATGCGGATGATTGTATGAAAAACAATGTGAATGAAAAATAGTGTGAAACAATGTATATGAACTTTGTAAGCAAACCAATAGAAACAAACCAAACACAACAAAAAGTTGAACACAGAAACTTCTGATACAGCTTTTATACTACTAGGAATATATCCCAAGGAACTTAGAACTGAGACACAAATGAAGATCTATACACTAGTGTTCACAGCAATATTATTCACCATCACAAGAACAACCCAAACCACCCAAATATCCAACTACAATTGGATGGATTGATAAATTGTGGTACATTCACACAATGGAATACTATCATCACTCAGGAGCAACTACTTCAAAAAAGATTTCTTAACTTGGAAGAGACTGGAAAGTGTTATACTGAATGCATTAACTCAGTTTCATAAGGATAAATACTGCATAACACCGTTATTGCAATAATAGAAGGATAACTAGTAAAACATGTATGAGGACCCAAAAGGGGAAAGAGTTGGAGTGGAGGAGTGAAGATGGGTAGAGGAGAAACAACAGGGTTGCACAATTCGGTGAGTGGAAGGAGAGGGTGAAGGAAATGGGAAAGATCCAGTAAGGATCTGAAAAGACAGGGAGATGATGGGCAATGTCGAATGATGATTATCTCTATTAGTCATAATGCATGAATGATTGTATGAAACAAAATGTGAATGAAAAACAGTGTGAAATACAATGTATATGAACTTTGGAAGCAAAGCAATATAAAACTGAAACAAAGAAAGTCTGCTGTCAAGGACCTCTCCAAAATCTTGAAGAACAATGATGTCAGTTTTAAAGACCAAGTACACCTGATTCAAGTCATGGTCTTTTTAGTCACTTGTTACGCATCTGAGAACAAGATAATGAATTAAGGATGACAGAAGAAAAATTGGTGCCTTTGAATTTTGGTGTTGGAGGAAAGTACTGAATATTCCAAGGAATGCCAAAAGAACAAACAGCTATATCTTGGAGAAAGTGCAACAGAAGTGTTCTGTAGAGGCAAGCATTGTGAAGTTTCATATCACATACTTTGGAAATGTTGTTAAGAGGCATTATTCCTTGGAAAGGGACAGCATACTTAGACGTGGAAGGTAAGCCAAAGACAGGACAGCCCTCTGCTAGATGGATTGACACAGTGACTGCTACAATGGCTTCAAGTATATCAGAGATTATAAGGATTACCTAGTATAGGACAGGGTCACTATGGTTTGTACTTGACTCAATGACATCCGACAACAAAAACAACAGTGGTTAAGGTAATTCTTTTCAGGAAGTATAAAAGCCACTAAATCACATTTTTATTATCTATCTATATAATATTTTAATCTGTGGCTCTCAGGCCTGGCTTTAATTGTTTGTGGTCAAACATTCTTCTAAGTAGTATAGCACTGGTCTGTTCATTTGCTGTACTGAGGTAACTCGTGGCTGCTGTAATGCTAAACACTGTGACACTGATGTGTCAAATGCGTTAATGGAGCTCCCCAATTACAAACTTGGAAGCAGGAGTGACATCCACTTTCGAAATAGCTTGTCTCCGGAAACTCTATGAACTTGGAGGATCGATACAAGTTATACAAGTGTTCAGGTCTTTCGTTCATAGGGTCGCTGAGTCGTCTATAACTTGACAGTACTTAACAACAAATATGTTGAAAAGTTATCCTTTAACACTTTTCAATGTTAAAATTAAAGGAAAATTTAAGGCGTTATGTTGGTGATTACCTTGATTTTAGGCTATTTTTGTTTGTTTATGGAAGTAGACTTACATCTTTCTACTGAGGTTTGACTAGCAGAGTAGAACTTTTATATTAGCAGTTAAGCACTTATTCACGGTACCAGAAGGGTTACTTATTTGTCCTATAGTATTTATTTTGATAAATAAATTTTGTCTTATGATTGTTTTACCAAAACACTCAACTCTACCAGGGAATCTGCCACTGACTCTCCAGTGAGTTTTCAAAGCTGTAAGGACATGAGTGTAGACTGTCCATCTTTCTCATGCAGGGTTTCTTGTGGATTCAAAATTACCAGAGAGCATCGACCTTTGAGTTACCATCATAATTCCCTCCAGACTCACTCTACCAGAGCTCCCCAGCTATGCTACTGTTTTTATATAGCTGAATAAAAAGACAGTTTGTAAAGTCATCTCACAAAGCTAGTGGGAAAACTGCGTGTCATATATGAACAAAATGTAAGCAGGAGAAAACATCAGTGACTCTGCAGCCAGAACAGTCTCCTTAGGTGCCACTTTTGGCACTACCACCAGGGAATGCCTCTTGCTCACACCAGCAGTTTGCTAGAGTACTGTCAAATACCACAGCTTGTTGTTGTTGTTTTTGTTCTTGTTGTAATGGGCCACGAGTAGCTTGCGACTCATAGCGACCCTATGTACAGGAGTTCTAAATGCCGTTCTGTCCTGTGCCAACCTAGCCATCCCAAATGCACTCATTCCCACCACTCCAGTCACAGAATCAATCCATCTCATTGAAGGTCTTCCTCTCCTTCGCCGTCCCTCCACTCTGCCAAACATGATGTCCAAGGACCAGTCTGTCCTTACAACATGCCCAGAGTATGTCAGACGAAGCTTCAGAATCCTTGACTCCAAGGAGAATTCCAGCTTCACCTTCTCCAGGACAAACCTGTTTGTTCTTCTAGCAGTCCATGGTATATTCGATACTCTTCTCTAGCACCACAGGTCAAAGGCATCAATTCTCTTTCTATCATCCCTATTCACTGTCCAACTCTCTAATGCCTAGCATGTAATTGTGAAGACTATAACCCAGATCAGGCACACCTTAGTCTCTGGCCTGACGTCATTGCTCTTCAGTATTCTTGAGAGGTCCCTCACAGCTGACTTTCCCAATGCAATTCGTCTCATGATTTCCTGGCTACTAGTACCAAGAGTGTTGACTGTGGAGCCAAGTAAACTGAAATTGTTAACTATCTCAATCTCTTCACCATCTATACTGATGCTGCCAGTTGGCCCAGTGGTAAGAATCTTTGTTTTCTTGATGTTGAGCTTCAATCCATATAGGAGGCTGCAGTCCTTGACCTTCTGCAGCAAGCGCTTCAGGTCCTCCTCAGTTTGAGCAAGCAGGGTTGTGTCATCTGCATAACTCAGGTTGTTGATGACTCTCTTCCACCAATACTGATACCACATTCCACCTCGTACAGCCCAGCGTCTTGGATGATCTGTTCTGCATACAGATTGAAAAGATATGGAGATAGAATACATAGCTGACGAACCCCCTTCTTGATTTTGAACCATGTAGTGTCTCCTTGCTCTGTTCTGACCACTGTCTCTTGGTCCAAGTATAGGTTTTGCATTAGCACAATCAAATGTTCTGGGATTCCCATTCTTCCCAGAGTCAGCCACAGCTTGTTGTTATCCACACAGTCAAAAGCCTCTGCATAGTCAATGAAGCACAGATAGACATTCTTCTGGTATTCTCTGCTTTCTGCCAAGATCCATATAACACTAGTTATAATATCCCTGGTATCACGATCTCTTCTAAATCCAGCCTGCACATCTGGCAGTTCTCCATTGACATATTGTTCCAAGCGTTTTTGGATAATTTTCAGCAGAATCTTACTTGCATGTGATATTAATGATATTGTTCAATAATTTCCACACTCCATTGGGTCACCTTTCTTTGGAATGGGAACAAATATCAATCTTTTCCGGTCAGTCGGCCAGCTGGCTGTCATCCAGATTTCTTGGCACAACTTAGTGAGCACATCTAGGGCAGTGTCTGTTTGTTGAAATAATTGGTATGCCGTCAACTCCTGGAGCCTTTTTTTTGCCAATTCCTTCAGAGCAATTTGAACTTCCCCCTTCATCACCATAGGCTCTTGCTCATAAGTCATTTCATGAAATTCTTCTCTGTCAGCCAATTCCTTCTGATACAGTGTCTCTGTGTATTCCTTCCATCTTCTCTTGATACTTCCTGGATCATTTAATAGTCTACCCAAAATATACTTAAGTATTGCCACCTGTGGCTTGAATTTGTTTTTCAGCTCCTTCCACTTAAGAAACGCTGAGTCAATTCAGCCCTTTTGATTTTCTGACTCCAGCTCTCTGCACATTTTATTATGGTATCTTGCTTTGTCGTCCCGGGCTGCCTTTTGAAATTTTCTGTTAAGCTCTTTGATTTCTTGGATTCTTCCTTTAGCTTTGGCTTCTCAGTGCTCTAATGTAATATTCAGGCTCTCACCTGACACCCATCTTGGTCTTTTCTTCTTTTTCAGCCACGGTTTAGTAATCCCAAATCAACTCTTACTATTCTCCTTTCTTTCTAGAATTCTGGAAAGAAGATCCAACTGACAAAGAAAGACTAAGTTGTTTGAAGTTAGAGGAATGCCTAAATTTCAAAGCTTATTTGGGAACAAAAGTTTAATTGTATAACTATTCTCCACAATTATGTTCTAGATTTGTGTAGTTTTACATAAATATAGTACAATCAGACATAAACTAATTAAGTGTAAGGAAGTCTTACCTGGTCCAAGACCATCATGACCTATGACAACTTTGTACAAGTCTCCAAGATGCACAGCTTCCAGACAGAAGGTGTCAGTCTACAACCAATTAAAAGAGTTGGGTGAAGGGAAAGGCAATACACAATGAAGGTTGATTAGATATTATAATTATCTCATTTACTTAATCAATAATAATTAATGTAATTAAACAAAATTACTACAAAAACCAATATGATTTGTAAACCTTCACTCAATGAAAAAGAAATTTTTTTAAAAAGAGTCTAATTACACCTAGTACACTAACTCAGATTTCAGCCAAAAGCATAAATTAAAATGTAGTGATAACTGCCTGTATAAAGAATATGTTCATTAAGCAAACACACAAAACCTTTCTGTATTAAGAGGTTAAGGGCAAAATAGTATTATTGTTGCTCTGTGCCATCAAGTTGCTTTCAACTCATGGCGACCCTATGTACAACAGCTCTGAACTCTGCTCCATCCTGAAACAACCTTATTGTCTCTGATACACGTATCCCCAATACCCCAGTCACTGAGTCAATCCATCTCATTGAGGGTCTTCCTCTATTGCACTATCCCTCCACCATCCCAAGCATGATGTCTCTCTCTAAGGACTGGTCTCTCCTTCCAACATGCCCAATATATGTCAGACAGAGCTTCAGAATCCTTGGAAAGATCAGCCTAGTTTTATCCTCTCCAGGATGACCCTCTTTGTTCTCCTAGTAGTCCATGGCATATTCAATGCTCTTCCCTATCACCACAGCTCAAAGGCATCAATTCTCTTTCTATTGTCCAGCTTTCTGACTTATAGCAAGTAGTTGCGTAAACCATGGCCCAGATCAGGTGCACCTTAGTCTCCAGACTGGCACCATTGCTCTCCTCTCCTCTGGAGAGGTCCCTGACACCAGACTTTTCCAATGCAATTCATCTTTAGATTTACTGACTGCTGGTAGCAAGAGTGTTGATTGTGGTGTCAAGCAAACTAAACTGTTAACGATCTCAATCTCTTCACCATCTATCATGATGTTGCAAACTGGCCCAGTGGTGAGAATGTTTATTTTATTGATATTGAGCTTCAATCCATACTTAAGGTTGCAGAAGGTTAAATCAAATTCACAGGAACCAAAATTTTACCCTAAGTCTATCCCACATGAATTTCAAAACCATCTGAGGAAGAGGTTTTAGGCCTTTAACACTAATTAGTGAAGACCAAATGAGCTGTGGGAGGATATCAAGAATATTATCCAGGAAGAATGCAAAATTTCATTACAAAGACAGAGGAAGAATAAAAGTCTGAGATGGATGTCAGAAAAGACTGAATATTGCACTACAGTGCCAAGAAGCCAAAACAAAGGTGGGGGGGCGGGGAAGCAAGTAGTTGAGAAACTGAATAGAATATTTCAAAGGGCAGCCCAGGGAGATAAAGCAAAGTATTATAATGAAATGTTCAAAGAGCTGAAGTCAGAAAATCAAAAGGGCCAAACCTAATCAGCATTTCTTAAGCTTAAGAAACCAAACAACAAATTCAAGCCTCAAGTTGCAATATTTAAGGATGCTTTGGGCAGAATATTAAATTATCCAGGAAGCATTAAAAGAATATGTAGAGGGTATACAGAATCATTGTACCAAAAGAATTGTCTGACATAGAAGATTTTCATGAAACAACATATTAGCAAGAATCTGTGGTGATGTTGTATAAGACCATTATTGTAAAATGAGTATAAGGATCCAGGCGGGGTGGGAGACGCCGGAAGCAGAAGGATGTGGATGTACAGGGGAAACAGGGAATTAATCATTTGTCTACAATTTGATGGGTGGAGGGGTGAGGGAAATTGAAAGAATTTGTTAGAATTTGTATTAGAATTTATAAATAAACTAGTGAAGGGAGGGGAAGTACCTGTGGTGATGGAAGACGTTCAAGCTGCTCTGAAGGAATTGGCAAAAACAAGCACCCAGGAATTGATGGCATACCAATTATGGTTGTAGAATTTAAAATCTGTTTTTCACCTAGAGCTCTCTCCTCTCTGTTGCCAACTTATAGTTATAAAAGTATATTTTTTAAAACCTCTGTAATTATACTTCAAAAATAATCATAGCATAAATTTGTTAACTATATGTTTGCATTCATAAAAATAAATAAAACTTTTGTCTGCCCTGGAAAGAAATTATTTTGCATTTACAAGAAATGAGTGTGGACCACTCATAAATTAGAATGCTTTTTAATGTTGGGATACAGATGCAAAATTATGACAACTAAAGCAATTATTTGGAGTTCACTGTGTTGCTGGAATAAAAACTAGATGTGTGTGCAACATAGTCGATGCGTACATTTGGGGTGCCCAGAGTTCTTTGGGGGGGAAATGTAAGACAAGACTACAGGCTAAAATGAAAAAAAAAAATTAAAAACTCACAAAGTAAATTATCAGTTTAAAAGAATCCAAAATTAGATCAACTGTCAGAAAAAATTCAATTTTGCATGTCTATGTATTGTATCAGGTCCTTGGAGAGGGACATCATGCTTGGTAGGGTAGAGGGACAGCGCAGGAGGGGAAGGCCCCCTATGAGGTGGACTGATTCAGTGACTGGGGTAATCGGGATGGGTGTGTCAGAGGCAATGAAATTGGCACAGGATAGAGCACGGTTTAGGGCTGTTGTACATAGGGTCGCTATGAGTCGCAAGTGACTCGACTGCACATAACAACAACAACAACATGTATTATATGCCAGGCCTGAGGGTCGCAGATTAAAATTACGCACGTTAAGCTTGGTATCATGGTGGACAGTGTTTGGTGGAGCTTCCCGATTAAAACAAGCTTGGAAGTATGAGTGGCAACCACTTAAGAAATGGCTTGCCTCCAGAAACTCTACGAACTGGTCTTTCATTCATAGGGTTGCTATGAGTTGTCTACGACTCAACAGCACTTAACAACAACACAACACAATGTCTTATATGCTTCAAAGTTATTCACATACATTTGTTTTAGCTTCAAAACATTCCTAAGAAATCACATGCTGTTGACAAACAAGAGAGTTAAGACAAAGGCTTAGGAACTACTCTGCCTCTTCATAAAATGCTGTCAGGAATATGAGATATGACTAACAAATCATTAATAGTCATTAACCAATAATATTGTCCAAGCTTGGCACAAGTCAATTCAAAATAAGGTTTTTGTTGTTTGTTGTTGTTGTTGATTGCCACTGAGTCAAGCATGACTCACAGCAATCCTATGAACCAAAGACCTGAAACATTTCTATAATTATCATCGTTTCTCTAAACTCATATAGTTACCATAGCCATGTTATATAGAAAGTGAATGCTACTTCTGCTTCAAAAATAAGGTTATTAAATAGCATAACTCATTTGTTCTTGACTAACCGGAAGTTTAGGGACCTCTAGTAGCTTGTTATTTTTGTTGCTGACTGCCATCAAGTCGAGCATGATTCATAGTGACTCTATGAACAAAAGACCTAATGACTTCCCATAATTGTCATCATTTCACCAAGTTCATAGAGTTTCCAGAGGCATGTGGTTTAGGAAGTGGATGTCACTTCTGCTTCCAAACCTATTTTACATCTGGGAGCTCCACCAAACACTGTCCACATTGGGAAGCTATTCTGGTATTTGATACCCCAATGACACAAGGTTCAGCATCAAGCAACCCAGGTTACTTCATACTACACATTGACAAAGAGTAATGTACAAAGTGGAAGAGTATAGTTTCACTATACTATACTAGTTTCACTTAGCAGTGGTTAAGTGTCGTCAAGTAGAATACGAGAGTAAGTTTTTCACAAAAGACCTAAACTCTGTTCTATGAATAACATAATTTCTGTACAGAACTCTGTTCTATATCTACCATCATTTCTGTATATTTAAAGGGTTTAGAGAGTTTGTAGAGTTTAGAGATTGTAGTGTTTCCAGAGTTAGTTTCAGGAAGTGGATGCAACAAGGCAGCAAGTGCTTCAGGTCCTCCTCAGTTTTAGCAAGCAGAATTGTGTCATCTGCATAACACAGATTGTTGATAAATCTTCCACCAACCCTGATTCCACACTTCTCACACAGCCCAGCATCCCAGATAATCTGTTCTGCATACAGGTTGAAAAGGTATGGGGATAGGACACATCTCTGTCATACACTCTTGCCAATTTTGAACCGTGCAGTGTTTCCTTGCTCTGTTCTGACGACTGCCTCCTGGTCCAAGTATAGGTTTCACATTAGCACAATCAAGTGTTCTGGGATTCAAGGAATATTCATTTGAAAATTAATAAATTTGGCCCAAGAGCCACGGGCCTGAGAGCCCTGAGGGATTTTAAGCCAATGTGTTTGAGAGGACTTAAACCCTAGGCAAGGCACAGGGACACCTGCTCTTGGGGAGAAAAAAGCAGTAATCTAATAATAATAATAATAATAATAATAATAATAATAATAATAATGGCTTAATGGTAATGAATTGTGCTGCCAACACAAAGGGGCATAGTTTGAATTCACCAGGTGCTCCAAAGGAGGAAAAAGCGCACATTCTTTCCCTTGTGATTTACTGATTCTAAAAACCCAATGCTATGGGTTGGTTCTGACTTGGCAGTACACAACAACAACAACAACAACAACTTAAAGGTTAGAAGTTCAGATGCATTTAACAGCACCAAGAAAAACTCCTGACAATCTGTTCCATTAAGATTACAACCAGATCTAGGAAGATGGCGGAGGTGGAGAGCACAGTGTGAAGAGCCAGAGGGATAGCAGCCTGCGTAGAGAGGATACCAGAGAGTACTTTACGCTCCACAAAGACTGACCATCATAGCGTGACACAAACAGTAGGATTTTGAATCAGAACTTTTGCTAATACATTATTTTAGAAGCTTTAAAAACTGGAGCCCTGCCTGCCTGCGCTGCAGCGGTCCCACAGTGGTCCCACGGGGGACCACGAGCTGAGGGGAGCTGCATCGAGATTCACCTGAAAGGAAAAAGCTTCAATTTTCAGGTTACTTGGGCTATCCAGTCAGGAACTTGCTTGTTATGGCTGGGAAATACTTACCTAAGCTTGGCATCCTACAAATTGCAAACTAACAAGTATTGTATT